GTATACATATATATACATATATATGTATATATATGTATACATGTATATACATGTATATACATATATATACATATAGACATATGTTCTAAATCGTCTGTTGCAAATATATTGAATTATCTTACAACCGGCACATTATCTAATCGAATATCATACCATGATGAAAACTACGTTTGACGATCGTATTTAATATTACAGGCACATTGGATCATCTTTGAAATATTTTATTCTTCTCCTCATTTTCGGTTTGTGCCATGATGCGAGTCAAGCGAGCGATATATTATAATCACGAATGATATATTATGAATATTAGCGAGTGTGTAATGAATATACAAAGTACAATGTACAAAATAAAATTTATACTCTTTGTATGCTTGACACGTATGCATCAATCTCAAACGTTTATCAGCATTAGGAATAGTATCCGCTTCTATTCATAAGATTCTGCGTGCGTTACAAAACCATTAACATCTGCGGCGCGTAGAATGCACAGGAATACGTTTCAATGTTGACGATGAGGAGTAGTAGTTGCATGAAATCGATTGCAACTGGCGAACGCTTGTTTGAGCATTGTCGAACTTTATTGAACGATGTGAAATGTAATATTTAAATTTTCCAATGATGAAAACAATGTTTAATTATGGCTGCGAATAGAAACTTCATTAACATTTGCAGATACATGAATTCATCAATAACTATGAACGACTTGTTAACTTTGACGAAGGAAATTGCAAATGTTATTCGATATTATTTTACTTTCGTCATTTTAATAAATTATTTATCCCAACGACACTTTAACATTAACATTAACATACTTTGTTTGAAACGCGTAAAATATAATATTTCACAGTGTGCAAATCATCATGGAAGTAAAAATGAAATAAAATATCGATTTCTTGTTTCTAGAACTGCCGATATGGACGTACGATGGAAGCTCGACGTACCAAGCGGATGGCGCTAACAGCGAGATTTATATTTGCCCGGTGGCGATCTACAATGATCCATTCCGTCGTGGAAACAACAAGCTAGTGCTTTGTGATACCTACTACAGTGATATGACCCCGACTACGACAAACAAACGTCTCAAATGTAACGAGGCTATGGAAGCCATTAAGGATCAAGATCCATGGTTTGGAATTGAACAGGAGTACACGTTCCTTGACTTTGATGGCAGGCCGTATGGCTGGCCGAAAAATGGTTTCCCCAGCCCTCAGGGGCCGTATTATTGCGGCGTAGGCGCCAACAAAGTATACGGTCGCGAAATCGTCGAAGCGCATTATCGAGCTTGCCTTTACGCTGGCGTAAAGATCGCAGGCACTAATGCGGAAGTTATGCCCTCGCAATGGGAATTCCAGGTTGGCCCGTGTAGCGGAATATCGGCCGGGGATGATTTATGGGTCGCCAGATTTATTCTTCATCATGTGGCCGAGGAATATGGCGTGATCGTTACTTTAGACCCGAAGCCCGTGGAGGGCTCGTGGAATGGTGCCGGTGCGCACACGAACTTCTCGACGAAAGCGATGCGTGCCGAGAACGGTATTGCCGAGATTGAGAAAGCGATCGACAAATTGAGCAAACAGCATCTCAGGCACATCCAGGCGTACGACCCACGCGGAGGGAAGGACAACGAGCGTCGTTTGACAGGGAAATGCGAGACCAGCAACATACACGATTTCAGTGCCGGCGTGGCCAATCGTAACGTCAGTATCCGTATTCCTCGAGGTGTTGCTGAGAGTAAGAGGGGTTATTTCGAGGATAGAAGACCCAGCAGCAATTGTGACCCGTACTCGGTGTGCAACGCATTGGTACGCACTTGCCTATTAAATGAATAAAGCTCGAAAACTATTCTCGAATAGATGTATCTAATGGAAAGGAGGAATTGGACGAGAAATTTGGTAGTGCAATAGTGAATTGTACTTTCGTCGAATGTATTCTGTGGGGATATATAAAAAGGCTTACTCGAATAATTGTTGCTAGAAATATAGCTGTAAAAAGGATGGAGGGGAGAGGATAAATGTGAATGCGATATTTAATAGGAATAATTATCATATTCTTCTTTCGTTCAAATAATGTATTTTGTAAAATTTTCGCGAATCGAACGGTTTGTTATTTATATTTCATGTTTTTAAAAGGAATAGGAGAATCGTTATGTATCTATACGTTTGAATATATACGTATGTAGGAAATGTTTATTATTAGATTATTTCCCGTGCACATAGTGTTAATGCTTTTTTCTTTTGTCTACCAGTTTAATCCCAGCACGACAATAAGGTGATTTTCATCTGTTATTAACTGCATAGATACTAATTACAATTAATACGATTCATTGATTCCTAATTCCATTGATCCTGGTGCTCGTTAGAGTGAAATAAAAAAGAAAATACGTACATGAAATATGAATATGTATATTGCTAGATATCGAATGAATTTGATATATTATGACATATTACATTCCTCGGAACAAATTTTGCGAATAATCTATTTATAACGAGTCACTCGACAATTTTCAATTCAATAAATTTGAAGCGTTATCGATTTACAACATGGAACGCAATAATTTTTGTGGGATTACTATATGATTGCATGCGTTCAACTTTTATATCACTTTCATTGACACATTTGGAAACATAAATATGTAATCTAAACTATGTAAGTTGATATTATATCGTTTACAAAATTGTTTAGCTGGATGGGTATTTTTTATTCTAGAACATACATGAAAACTGTAGATTAAACACCACGCTCAACAAGATATATGTTTATCTTTTAAATATAATAAAAGAAGAAGAAGAAGTGTAATACCTCTTTCGGTACCTGAAAAAACTGAAGGTGCCATGATTGTATGTCGTTATGATACGGCTGTTAATCACGAAATTTCATATAGGCACGACAAATTAGAAAGTTGAATAAATACGTTCCCTTGTCGTAATTGTTGTTCGAATGATCATGCGAATTATATGAGCGGTAATATAATTATTACGTTAAAATAAATACGTACGTATAGTAACTAAAAAGAAAAAAAAAGAAAGTCGATGTAGCATGTACATGGTGTATTTTCATATTTGTATCGTATATTTTCATATTTGTATTTTCTATGCTGACTTCTTCAATATAACTGTATACCATGACCATTGTTGACAATTTTGTTGGTAGTGGTTATCACTGTTGTTATTATGATAATAAAAAGCGACATTTTTAACGAAGTACTCTCTTATTGATATAGAATATCCACTTATATTATAAAACAATCGCAGTAATTTACTTTATTACTATTTACAAACAACTAACAATATATGATTTTTATAGGCATACGCGTTCAATATACATATTTGTGATCGCGTCAATGGTAACATGAAAAAGAGCATTAGTTATGCCATTTCTTGATAACTATCACTTTTATACCTTTAAATGCATATGTGATGCAAACTTATTTTTATTGCGTTAATGGTATTCCCTTCATAAATTTCCTGTACCACATGAATGCAGTAGCTGCAGACAAACAATACCATGTGAGCAGATAACTTAAATGTTCATTTCGTAATTCTACTCTCGTTTGGCCACCAATTGGGTATTGATTCAAATTCTTGTTAAAAAGTATTTCGATGTATATAGGAGATGTGTTTCCCTTCTCAGCCATTTCATCCACATCTCTGGAAAATAAACAAAGCTTTATTTGGGAATTATTGTACCAATATTTTCACATACCTGTAATACCACATATTCTGTTGCGGACGATTTTTTGGGATAAAAGGTGGCCTTTTTTCTTGTAACCTTAAAATTCCTACAATTTCTTGTTCGTCTTGTATATTAGTTTTCTGTATTTCTGATGAATTTCTCATTGTTTTTGGAATCCAACCACGATTCACCAAAATTGTTAAACTAGAAAATATTTTAAATTTTGAAATGAAAGAGAATTAAAATTATATCCTTTTATAGAGTTCTTGTACTTACTCTCTATCTGCCAATTTAAAGGGTGTAATAATATGATATCCCCTTTGTGACTGACTGCCAAAAGAAAAGTAGGCATCTGACGGTTTACCATCTTTTATTAGACTCCTGTATGCTGCCATAAATTCTTTGTCATATAAAAACTTTCCTCTCACTTTGATAGGATAATACTCCTTTGTATTCAATTCTTCTAAACTGAATAAAATTTGTCATTGTTCTATATAAATTCATAATATAAAATAAAATTCTATTGTGGTAATTTAATTATCTTACTTTTCTGGTAACTCAATAGGTTCAAAATTAGTACGAGTTTTCAGTTTTTCTACTAGGTCTGTTTTCCATTTAAGTCTTTGAACTTGCCACGTACCAAGCACAAAGGTAGAAATTGGTATGATCTGTTTTTAATATAATATAAAAAATCAATTGTTTACACGAATTAACTATCTACTACATACGAGAGTTTATGTTTCTATCTTACCAACAAACAGTATGCAGAAAAACCAATTTTTTCATCTGTTTCATAAACTTCATACGATTCCGGTCCATAAATATCACCTTTGAAAATCCTGCGTTTTGGTTTTTGATTCGTAATCTTACACCACCATCGAGATAATGTTTCTGTACTTATAGATCGAACAACGATAACATTATGTGAATTTCCTACTTTCGTAAAAATTCTTTTAATTACTACATTCATCTCTGTCGCTATTTACTTGTAATGCACTGTATACCGTATATTATAATATAAAGTACAGACATCGACTAAGGGAAGAATAGAGATCTGACATACAATAATTTTTCCCACATTTTGGGAGTCACCTGACTTGTCATCTATTTTCGTGGTATATTATTATTGGTTCAATGTAATAAGTTGAAATATAATGTTACAAATAAAGTCGAGAACGTGATACATTATGATCTCAAATGAAGTGAATGATTGAAACGATTCCTTTGATTTTTAATGTTTCTCCATTGTAAACAATGCGAAATCCTCACACGATTAATTTACATTTTATGTATTTCAAAGTTCAACTCTTCACGTACCATTTTGACTCAGACTTCAAACAGTTTATGAAAAATTAAACGTTATTGGACGAAGTGTTTCGATTGATTCAGCAGAATTTATAAATCTTTTATACATCCTTTTCGTAGATCAAAAAGGATATAGGAGAAAAGCTGGGGATTAAATTCGGAAGGAACAATTGCAACGGTTCGAAAATTAATCCTCTTAGCTTATTTTTTACAAATGAAAATTTTCCATTACGGACCCTAAAATGCTAGCGTCGCGTAGCGGTGAAACAGTGGAATTAATCGCTATAGTAGCCTTGTCACGCACTATTGCACTCTTTGCCTATTGTGCAATATATATCCTTCTCGCATACTATCGTGCTCTTTGTCTTACCGACACGACCGACACATGCTGCCATCTATCGAACTTTTCATTTTGTTCTTTTAGTTTCAGTAGGAATTGAGAAATGTTCAGATGGCAGCACGAAACATATATCTATCCTTGTCGCACACTATTGTACTTCTTGTCTACCGGGCAGTGTTGCCATCTAAGCTTTTTTTCAATTCCTACTGAAACTAAAAGTGTAAAAATCCAATAGATGGCAGCACACGCCTTTTTTTGTAAACAAAGAGGGGCAATATCGTCGAAGAAGGATAGATATTTATTGTGCGACAGCAAAGAGTGAAATAGTACGCGCAACAACAATTAGTTCCACCTCTCCACCGCTACGCGGCGCTAACTAAAATGTTTCTAGAACCAATGAATGGATCAATTTTCTCATTCGTAAAAAAAAGTTAATCAAAAGGGCCAATTTTCGAACTTGTTCCTTCAGAACTAAATCCTCAGCTTCTTATCCCTTCTGTATCCCTTTGATCTATAAAAACGTGTATGAAGATTTATAAATTCTACTCGATAGATCGAAAAATCGAGATTTTTCAGTAAATAATATTTGATTTCTCACAAAGTTCATTCGAAATTTAGGTCAACATTTTTTGCGAACAATAAATTTCACACAGAGCTTTGACTTTATTCAATCGATTAAATATTAACAATTATTGTACATTTCTCTCTCACATGCAACACAAGACTGATGAACTTACGCATAATTATGTACTCCGAATTAATTGATACATTTTTTGATATGTAAGTATAAAATCCAATGATTTTTTAATTTGATGATTCTTTAATTTCATTTATTTCTTACTTTAATTAGCTTATATCACGATTATTATAAGTCTCACAATATTCGCTTTAAATTAGTATGTAAGATATATATGTGTAAATATGTGTGTGTGTGGTAAGAATTTTTAAAATAGCAATATCCTCAGAGATGAAAGAATCAGCATTGAATTGCATAAAGGACAAGTTTCGTGGGAGT